TTATTATCTTATTGTATAGTAAAAAAAAATTTTTTTTTTTTTTGTTAAATACAATAAGTATATATATGATGTTACACTTGTTTGTGATAGTAAATATATCAATGAATAAGTGCAATGATATCGTCTCATTGAAATAAATCCGTATAGATGGATGATTTAAATAAATAAATAAATCGCTTTTAAATATAGATAATATTTAATGTCTTTTATTTCATCCTTATCTTTATTCTAATCTTTATCACTACTACTTATTACTCCTCCCAATCTATAACTTCATCCATTTTACTTTTCATTAATAAAAATGTTAGTCAATTAAGTTCATAATAATTGTATAAATGTCATAATTAAAGGTAAGATTATATGCCAATCTTTTATCATTTATCAGTAAATATTTTTGATCATGTTATCAATGAATTTATCAGTGTTAAGCAATCAATGGAATCATTCGATACTTTTTAAAAATAATTTAAATTCAATTTATTTTTCGACCCAAAAAAAAACGAAAAGGAAAAATATTTATTGGAAATTCAGTAATATACCAAAAGAAAAAAAAATTGCACTAAAAGTATTGCTCGTAATATTTTCTAATAGCTTTTACAACTTCAAACTCTTTGTTTGTTTGCTTTTTTTTATTTTTTTTATTTCTTTTTTTTTTTTGTTCTGAATGTTTTAAGAAAAATTTTTGTTTAAAGAAGTTTAAACTCAAAATGTTTTTCTTTCTTCTTTTTTTTAAAGTACAAACTTAAAAAGTTTTTTTTTCCATCCGATAATGTTTACAGAAATTAACGAATGGGAATGACTGTGAAAATTGCTAAATGTAAAGATTGGCCAGTTTCGAATCAAACTGAATATATTCGTGAAGGAAAGGGGAGGGGGGAAAAAAAAGAAAAAGTAATAGATGTAATATTTATTAGTCTAGTTTTAATTGATAATAGGCTAAAATGAATCATCAAAGATTTTTTTTTCAAATATTTTTTAATTTTTTGCTATAGTCTTTTTCGCTTACAACATCTAAACACAAATTTATTATTTATATTCTTGCATACATACAATTTCAATGTTTATCTAAATTAATTGTGAATTTAAAAAAAAAAAAAATGAAAAGAAATACAGGAAAAGGTGTAAATTTGATTAATACATTAATTATACTATTATTGATTAAACACACCAAATAAGCATTGGAAATTATCGATGGGAACAAATTACTGGAAATTATTTGACCTTTATGTATATATATATGTATATATATATATGCTATTTTTCATTTTTACAAATTTAGACATCCATTAATAATAATTTAACAATGTAAGTAAGGCAAGAGAAATCCGCTGAAAAAGTTAAGTAAATCAAGAACATATAATATTAATAAATTAACTAAGTGTGATAAATTACAACTCATTACAAACATATTTAATTAGCAATTAAATGAAAAGCAATTCAATTTCAGAAGAAAGCTTGGTCAAGAAATATCGATTAGTTGGAAGATGTATAGCAGTAATAAATAATTATGCTTGGCTAGTTTGTTGTTTATAACGCTTAATGGTGATGTCGTGCGATTTTATGTTAGTAGTATACCATATGACAATCAGCATTAAGTTTAAAATAAATAAGGCCAAGCTTTACTTAATATTTGAAAATATCCTGGCGGGACGACATTTTTCATGAGCGAACGATGCATGGTATCTCAGCGAGACAATATATCAAATGTAAATTTGGTTCGAATAATGACAGCATCCGGAACGGGCACTTTGCCAGTTTTTCTCTAGCCTCTCGAACTATGATCTCCATGGGAGTTGAGGCTCTTGGGCATGCGTTAGTGCTGACTTGTGCACGTGGATACGTGGTATGTGATGGGTGGGACGTGATTTTATACGTGATTCGTGATGCGTAAAACGTGAATGTATATATGGGTGCGTGATGCATGAAACGTGATTGTATACGTTGATGCATGGAACATGACTGTATACGTGGATGCATGGAACATGACTGTATTTGTAGATGCATGGACGTGACTTTATACGTGATACGTGATGCGTAGAATATGAATGTATGTGTGGAACGCGGTTATGCTATGAACCACTAGCACAGCCACAATTCCACGCATCACACATCCAAGATTATGTTGGTAGTGAGATGTATGTTAATAATGATAAGTATGCGGATGATATGTTGAGCAAAATAGAAATACAATTAGTTGATAGTAAGAGATTTTTGCTTCACTAGTTGATCTATTTTGTTAACAAGGTATGCACAAGGTATGCATCACTTATTTATCTATTTGTTTAATGCATTCTGAATAGCTGGTTTCCAATCAGTTTGATTACAGTTGATAAAATTGCATAATCAGACGTAGCTGTATCATTAGTTTTAGGAAGTAACGGCTAATCGTATCCATTGTCATATTCAATCCTATGATTGAATGATTATAAGTTAAACAACTTCTTAGTATATTTCTGTCCACTTTCTCTCATCTTTATAATGCCACACATTTATTCACTGCAATTTGTTGACCAAACAACATTCAATAATCTAAAACCTACCGTTTAATCCTTGTGCTCATGCATAATATGATATGTAGAGGTGTTAGGATGCTGCAAGAAATAGCAAATATTTGGGAGCGATTGTCGCCGTTAGTCCTAAAAAGAAAGGAGTAAGTACCACGAGGCTTTCGCAACTATGAAGTTTGATGTCATGCTACGTTATACCTTCTGCGGTGATCAGAAATGCAGAGGACAGAGTGCTGCCTTGCTGACTCGCTGTTTGACCTCTTATTTCACTCACTCTTTTATCTATCGATTCTGTTACGAGGCTTGGCTAGATGGGCGGTCTTGTCAGTTGGCGCGCGAGAAGAGAGGGAAGATATTGTAGTGGAAATGGGAGTATTATATGGAATAGTAGTTTCCATTATTATTGTTGCCAAGAATTTCTACAGCTCTTTCACATTTTCCTTTTTTTTTTTACTTGGGCATTTGCCATTCCCATTCTCGAGACTTACCCTGACCATGCTTGCCATTCCCATTCTCGAGACTTATCCTGACCATGCTTAAGACTTATTCCATTCTAATTCTCTTCATTCTTCTAATCTTCTTTATAGTAGTAGTATTTGTATGAATTATGGTTACTAATACTAGTACTAGTAATAAGTAGTAGTAAGTTGGTAGCAGCTGTTATTGATAGGATGGGATGGTTGACAATCGAATCCCTCCTTTCTCATTCCACTTCTTTTTTTTTCTTTTTTTTTACCTCCCTGTTCGAGAAGCGTTTTTTTAAATCATTTGCAGCAAGTTTATGTAATATTGCAAATCATTCCATCCGGCAGATGTCGAGATGATTAATTGTATCTCGATTAATGTTATCTAGTTAATAGATTTACTAGTTAGAAAACTTGATTTCACTTGTTTTCTGATAGTTATTGACCCGGAATATATCGGTCATATCTTTTCCATATGCTAGGAATATGCGATTAATCTGGATGATTAACAGGGAATAGATTGCAGTACGTTAGAATCTTATATCCCGCCTTGATAGTTTACCCCGAGTAATGTGCATTCCTACATTCTTCCGCGTATCTAATAGTAGCCTGCAAATCTATATATTTGCCTGTCTTTTTGTGTGTGTGTGCGCATGTCTATCTATCTCTCTATCTGTCTGTCTGTCTGTCTGCTCGTTTGTACTGAATTGGCTAGTTGGATCGAGATCGATTGAAATTCGTCTGGGTTTCTTCTTGATGCTGAAATATTGTTGTAAGAGTATCATTTATTTATCGAGAAATGTGCTTTCCGTTATGTCTGAAATGTTTTGATCGATCGATCTACCTGTCTACTATTGCTACTCTCGCCGTTATCCGCATTTGTTGTTTTATTGCTTCAGCAAAAGGTAGGGTTGATGGAAGGTTGGAACAATTTTGTTCACTTAAATGATGTAATCCTGGTCGGGATTTTTGTCTTCTTTTTTTTTCTACTTTTTCTTTGCTTCATAATGGTAGAGCTGTATAAAATGAGAAATCGTTCATTCTATACGATTTCAGCAAAACTTTCATCTCAAACTTTATAGTTTTAATTTATTGGATATAACAGCAAAATTCTCATTTTAATGACTGGAAGGGAAAATGTACGTAAGTTTAACTTTAATAGTTTTTGGCAAAGATAGGGTAAAAATTGTTACTGTTATTCTTGCATCTTCTCAAATTTAACTGTTGATGCATATCTTACTTTTCTCTTAGTTGTTTAGCCATTACTTTTTCCTTAAATAGATGTACTCTGATAGGTGAAATATTCGGGATATTTGATGCTAGTGGAGAATATCTGGAAGATAATGATAGTTATTTCGGATCATATAATTGTTGAAGTATTAGGACATTAATGTGTGAATACACGGTGCAACTCATACCATGTAAATATTGTTTTTTAGCTAAAGTTTCGTTGAGGAGAGTTGTTTTAAAGAAAATGATTATATGGTAAATGTATCCAGTTTGATTTACACCGACTAAAATGAGGGAAATCATTTATATATGTATTAATTTCCGGCCTCTTAACTTGTTTTTTCTAAATTCTTAATGGATGATTTTTTAGTCGATAAGAGTTCTTTTCTTTTTTTTTGATACTATACGAAGTCGGTTCTGTAGAGACCAATGAAGAGCAGCTTTAAACGTTAGTGTAATTATCGAAAAGACAAGATTGTCAAGTGTCACAACTCATTTTACCCAAGTAATTTCTTATTGCTTCGTTTTTAAGACTAAATAAATTCACAACGTCTGGGAAGAGTCTTAGCTTATCCAGCTTTCATCAGATATTGAAATGTAGATGTTTGATTAGTTATAAAATTAGTCCAGCATATTTTTTGGTTTTTATTGATACTCTGCAATTTGGGTCTTTTTGACGACAATATGATTTTGTCTCGCGCTATCCCCCTCCTCCCTATTTCTATTTTTTATTCTTTGCTCTTTTCTGGTGAAGCGTATTGTACTCGAATCTTCATGCTATAAGTGTTGCTTTTAGCTTGACTGCTTTGATTTGGTTTTTGGTCTATATCCGGTTTTTTGGCGCGTATCCAATTGCAACAGATTGTACAACCTTCTTATTCTCTCATATGATGATTTAGTCTGTATGTATGCATGGGTTATATATGTATATATATATATGTATGTGTGTGTGCATGTATATATGTGTTCTCTTTTTTCGATTATTTAGGTCTTTTTGACGACAATATAATTTTGTCTCGCTCTGTCTCCCTCCTCCCCATCTCTCTTTTAATTTATCTCACGTTCTATTCGTCTGTTGGGAACACTACATGTTGATAATCGATAATTAATCGGCATGATGAGAGATGAAAGATATCCGTAGCGAAGGTTATTGAATTTATAATAAATATTAAGCTGTTGATTTCCAATATTTGTTTTTAATATTTTCCCAACATTCTGATTGTTCCTGATTAAGATGAGTTTTTCCAGAGTAATGGTTCTCAGCGGGTGGTCTGGACCGCTAAGATTATTATGTCCCTTCCTTTAGATATTATAATGTCACTCCAAGTTCAGCAGTTAAAAGTTTTGGTCAGAGCATATTTTCAAATGTGCACATTATTTTTACTAAAAGTTACAATTTTTTAAAATCACGGGATGGTACCATATCATGTGGATATATATGTATTGTATACATATAAACAATGAATTGATGCCATTTCATTATTAGTGACAATTTGTCAAATTGAATGCACTATCTACACAAAAGGTTATAAACATCCCTGTAATTTATAACCTTTTGTGTAGATAGTGCATTTTCGGAAATTTTTCATTGGAAGTTTAAATGTTAAAAGATCACTAAAAAAGTGGTAGCTCATAATCTACCATGTTATATATGTCAAGCGGCAAGTAATTATTGGACGATGGCTTAACCAGCCATTTCATTATGATACATTTGCGCTCTACTTAATTCATTGTTTTTGATTGTTTTTCCCAATTAGCACAGGTTAGTTGTTTGATTGCAGGTCTTGTACAAAACTGTATTATATCTGCGTTGCGCGTTGTATTTCTACTATTTTCAATTGTCTACTTTCCATACCGTACGATATCCAAAATAAGATAGCATTATGGCAATGGCTGAACAACAATGGTCAAATCACTACCCGAGTTCGTGGAGTAGCATGCGATCAGGTCAGTTTTTTTGTCAAATTTCACTGCTAATATACTTCCGTATTTGGTGGGTTTTTTGTTTCATAACTGTTGTTTCTCCTTTCTTAATTATAAGTGGCATTCCATATGTCCATATGCTGGAGGGGATTATGTGATTTACACGACAGTAATGTTTTATCGCTTTCAACCTAAACTATCTTTAAGCCAGGTTTGTAATAGATGAATTTTTTTCGGCGAGTTTTTTTTTTCCCCTCCCCTTCCCTTGAAATGTGTTCATATTCAGAGTGTAATTGCAGGCTTACATAGTTTAACTTCGATATGACGGTTTTGATGCTGTGATTGATAGCGAAGGCTTAGCGACATATTTTTGTGTTTTTTTTCTAGAGCATGCTGTTAGCAATCCGATTATGGTGCAAAATAATACTGGTGTTGGTATTGCGGGGTCTATAAGATCTCGAGAAAATTCGCTTTGCACCCAGATGATCGCTAACGTTTTGGGCTCATCTACCGGAAGTTTGAATGCAGCTGATACAAAATACGTTAGTTATCCAAGTGTTATTTTTGTTTGAAGTGCTATTTTGTTAACTCTTTGTTTTATGAACAATGTTTTTACTGATGATAGTATCGGAATTGCTCGTTTTCTTCCACGAAGTTACATAATGTTTTTGTTAATGTATACATTTTTTCCCCTTTCATTATAAATCATCTTTATCTTGAGAAATCGTTAGGAATGATCAATCGATTGTTCAGTATACCTTGTTTTCCGTTGCATCGTGATCATATGTGTAGGTCCTAGAAAAATTTTTTCTTACAGACTGTTTTCGTACCAACGATCAGATTAATTAATCTAGTTCTTTCGGGGTTAACTATCTATATACTGTGGAAAAATGT